CTCTGGGTCATGCTTTGCACGGAGGCTTTCATGGCTACAGCCTGGTTTGCCACACCATTTTTGCAGAAGGATAATTACAAGAGCTCCAGTAATTACCAAACCTGAGAAAAAAAATGTTGAAGCTCTTAAGCAAAAATGGGGGGGGGAGAAAGAAATTATGATGATCTCCACAAACATGAAATTTTTCTGGTTTACTGAACTTAAAAGAACCAAAACCAAACACAACTGAAATGAGGATTCTGCGCTGGAAAGCAGAATTTTTTTCCTGTGTAGGCAAGATGCTGGTCATGAAAGCCCCATATTGTGATTAAACCAAAATGATTGCTCAGCTTGATCATATATGAATATAACTTCGGAGTCAAGTAAAACGTTTTGAAGTTTGTCAGTGTTTGCTTGGTAGGTCATTGCTGGTTAGCAGAGAAGCAGTCGCACAATGAGCCGAGTGCTGCCGTGAATGTTTGCATGATTTGCTTTTAGTTGTGCCTGCCCCTTTCTGATGCGATGTTTTTCCCCCTTCCCAAATGCAGGGCTTCAGATAACAGGGAGCGTGCTTATGAACATAGTGCCTATGGACACCATGAGCGGGGGACGGGAGGATTTGATCGGACGAGACATTACGATCAGGATTACTATAGAGACCCTCGGGAGCGGACCTTACAACACGGGCTCTATTACACTTCTCGGAGCCGAAGTCCGAACCGTTTTGACGCTCACGACCCCCGTTACGAACCTAGGGCCCGGGAGCAGTTTACATTGCCCAGTGTGGTACACAGGGATATCTACAGGGATGATATTACGCGGGAGGTACGAGGCCGAAGGCCGGAGCGGAATTACCAGCACAGCCGGAGCCGGTCGCCGCACTCGTCGCAGTCCCGGACGCAGTCCCCGCAGCGGCTGCCCAGCCAGGCCGCCCGGCCCGCCCGCTCCCCCAGCGGCAGCGGCTCCAGGAGCAGATCTTCCAGCAGTGACTCCCTCAGCAGCAGCAGCAGTACCAGCAGCGACAGGTAGGTCCCTGTGCCGAGGGCGCGCGGGGCGTTTGCCGAGGCGGCGAGGAGTTGTGAGCCCGGGCTGTGGAATGGTGGGGTGTTCCACGGCAAAGCGTCAGTCACTGACGGAGAAGTGAACTGGAGTGAAATGTAAAAAGGCTCAGTTGGAATGAGATGGATCTGAGGGGAACACTGCTGGCATCACTGATTGTTTTCCATGGTGGATCTGTGCAGCGTCCATAAGGCACTGGCTGGGCAAAACAGGGATGTACGGACACGCGGCCTCGCTGCCTGTGAGCTGGGGGGATGGCGTGACGTTGGTGTGTTCGGAGAACGGTGTGACTTGTAGGTACTTGGAGAACAGGGTCACTGTTATGTGCTTCAGTGAGGGAAAAAGCACATTTTAAGGTCAGCTGCTTTTACAGGCCACAGTTGAAGGTACTTTGGGAAAAGGTGACTGGTATTGTTCCATCTCCTCTCGTTCCCTGTCACCGCTGACATTTAAAAGGTTGATTTGTCGCCTTCCCATTTTTTCCCCTGTTGCCTCGCAGCAAAAACTGTAGACTTGGAAGAATTAAAAGGAAATAATCCAAGTTTGCTGTTCCTAGTGATGCACCCCTGTCCTTGGTTCTGTGATAGTTCTGTATTTGTGTGGCTTCATAAAATACCTACAGGGTGGAAAGAAGGTGCTAGAGGTAATCCCTGATTGCTTCTAATAATTTTTAAATTCATGTTGAAGTGCCTCTCTGATTTTTAGCCTTTTAAGAGTAAATTCACCCTGAGATGGAAACTATGAAGCTACAATTGCACCCGTAAATGTTTTCTGCTCTTTGGTGAAGAGCTCTGCTCCTCAGGAGGGTTTGCAGAGTTGGCAGCGTTCCCTTTGCATACCAGGTCTTTTCTAAAACTGAAAATATTCATTGAGTAAATAAGTGTATCAGTAGAATAAATACCTAGTGTTCGATTTCACAAGGGCTTGGAGTGACAGGACAAGGGAATGGCTTCCTACTGCCAGTGGGCAGGGATAGATGGGATGTTGGGAAGGAATTCCTCCCTGGGAGGGTGGGGAGGCCCTGGCACAGGTCTCCCAGAGCTGTGGCTGCCCCATCCCTGGAAGTGTCCAAGGCCAGGTTGAACTGGGCTTGGAGCAACCTGGGCTGGTGGAAGGTGTCCCTGCCCATGGCAGGGGGTGGAACAAGAGGGACCTTTAAGGTCCCTCCAACCCAAACCAGTCTGGGATTCTGTGATTATCACCATGAATGGAATTTACCACTGGTATAAATCAAGGTAATTATTCTCACCAAATCTTTCCTGCTTGAACGTTGGACCTTCTGGAAGGGTGATATGGGCTGACACAGGGCAGAGCCAACAGAAGGGAAGATGAGGAAATCGTCTGATTTCCTCATCCCCTCATGTGTAAAGAATCATGCCAATATTTATTTACTTCTTTTAATTATTGTTTTCTCTTCCTGGATTTAGAAATCCAGGTGGTGTCTTGGCTGGAGAGCAGGTGAAGAAGATTTGAGACGACTTTTAGGCTGCTTTAAGCGTCTGTTTTTTTATTTCTGACACCTCTCTCAATGAGAGCTTAAGGCTTGGATAAAGACAACCCTTTGTCAAAGACTTTTCACACTTATTATCACTTAAAAAAATCCCGGAGACTTCCAGAGGTCTCAAAAAAAAAATCCTAGAGAAGATGGATTTGAAAGGAGGGCTGGTTACATTTAAGGTTTAATAAAAAAATCCCAAGCAGGAGGTGGGGGGGAATCTCTTCTGGTGCTCCTTTGCTTCTTGCAGAGTGAGAAAGGAGTCCAAGAAACTTGTAATATTTGTAAAATGTCATTGTTGGGATGTCGAGGCGGGATGAAATCCTGTCCTGGATTCGAGAGGACTAAATACGATCCCACTGGAACTAAGTTTTCAGATTTAATGAGAAGAAAAGCAGCGTCTGCTGTGCTTGAGCGTTTCATTTTCTTGGCAGTTTCTGGTTGTAGTAATGGAAAAGTAGACGATACTCAGGGAGGAAATAAACATTTTTTTCTTATTAATATAGTAAAATCAAACTCAGTCGAGCAAGTAACAGAATCTGGTGGATTGTCTATTTAATTTTGAAGAAAGAGCAGTTTTACATGTTGCTCAGCAATCGGTGAGATATTAATAAATGTTTAACCTCTCTTTACTTTGGGAAGCAAAACCCCACCTGGCCTTGAAGCCTTTCAAAGCACAAGTGTTTTTTTCTGTTTAATTTTTAGCACATTCTGAATTTTGCCACGTAAATATTAAGCCCCTCATACCCTGTGGCGAGCGAAAGCTGCCTCACCCCCTTTTCACTCTGCTCCCACTCACTGTGCAATATATCCAGTTTCATTTGTCAGGAGAATAATTATTTCCTGCAATTTCCGTGGTACTCTCAGGGATTTTAGCAAGCTGGAGATTCTTACGGCCTTTTTATAAGTGGAAATGTCCAATTTTATGAAATTATTAAGGTTTTTATGGCACTGAATTCTTCTGAAGCAGAAGAACTCGGTCACTCCGGTCTCAGCTGGCAGGTGGAAAAGGCAAAGTTGTGTTTCCTCAGGGAGGTGGGTCCTGCCTCTCTCCCGGGAGTGTTTGGGACACACGCTGGGTGTTCAACACCGGTGGGAATTTTTGTGCCTGGCACTGTCCTGTGTGAGCTGTGAGAAACGAGCAGAAAGGTGGCGAAGGAGAAGTTTGGGCTTCCTTGCTTGTGGTTCTCAAGAGCTGCGTGAAGGAAATAACACTTCGATTAAATGGGGATGATTTTCCTGGACAGTAACGTCGGAAAAATTGCTCTGCAGATTGCTTAAAAATTAAAAAACAACCCAAAGAAAGCCTTTATTTCATAAAGGTTCACAGTTTGTTGTGTTGGCTCTCAACTAAGCTTTGATGTAAATTGCTATTTGGAGGCCTTTGCAGGTAATGGAGCTGCAAGGCAGTAATTGAGAAACTAAAACCAAAAAGAACATGTTAAAAATAACCGATATTCTGTGAAGCTGGGCTTTATTCGGGGTATTTTGTGGCCTCTCTGAAGTTGCCCACCGGGCTGAGGTGGGGAAGCTGCTGGATGTGGGTGGTTCCTGTGTGGATTTGAGGAGGAATGTGTGTTTTGAAATGTTCTTAACAGGAGATTGCTCATTCCCCACCCATATCGTGCAGAAGGGTTGATGGAATTTTTTTATCACCTTGAAAGAGTAAAAAAACCTTGAAAATTACAATTTTCCGCCACCAGAAGCCTCAATTTCTCCGTTTTGGTGATTCAGACGCAGACCACAAATGATACATTAGCAAACATATTTTCTGTACTGTGTCATGGAAGAAGCTGGATATGGATGGAAGCTGCGTGATCCCATAGGAAGCAAACCAGATTTTGTTTGTGCCCTGCCCGACCTCCTGGAAAAAACAACCAGCCTCCTTTTTTTTTTATTTTGTAGAAAAAGCTCTTTTCTAGGCTGCTTGTTGAGGTGCTCTAGTGCACTAAAAATAATTTCTGGGCTTTTTGATCCAGTTTTGTAACGTCAGATGGCCTGACACATCTCTTGCTGCTCCATGTGTTAGTAATTACTTTAAAGCTTTGCTGCAGGGATGTGCTGAACCACCTCAGAGTGGGACGTTTCGCTCCCAAAATCCACGATGGGATGAGATTTAAATTATTTACAAAATCCTGGCAGCGTTTGATTTCCTATAGGTGAAGTGCAGAATGTGGAAGTGGAAACACCCTGTGTGTAAATGTACAGATGAGCGACCTGAGATTTCCTTTTGCCTTTAATTTATTTTTTAAGAATGTTTACTTAGTTGTCCGTTTTCAAGGGTGCTGGAGGATTCACTAAGTTAAATGAATAATTTCATATAGTTTGCAATGTAGTCACCTTTAATTTATTTTTTAAAGTATTTATTTGGTTGTGTTGTGTCAGGGATGCTGGAGTTGGATGAATAATTCCCTATAGCTTGTAATATAAAATAGATACTGTGGAATTAAACCAGCAATTTCAGCTTAGACACAAAACTGATTTTATTTTCACCAAGATCTAGGTGAGCACAGTCATTCCAGCCCTGCTGAAATCAGGCAGTGGGAAGCAGTTGCATGTATAGATGTTTGAAAATTGAATTTTTTTAGTAATTCTAATAGCTGTACTTAAAGTTCTCATGACAAGTGGGCAAGGCATAAGGTAATTAGAGATTGGTTTTAATTTTAGATTTCTCTTAGATGAAATTCTTTCTGGAGCAAGGAGTTACAGTTGGAATGGAATACGTGTGTGTCTTAATATTGAAATAAACTGATGGAAAATACTGCCAAGAGAATTTTAATCATGGGAAAAACAGGCTCCCTGAAACCTCCCGTGTATTTTATTTTGTATGGGACTTTCTTACCCCGCGTCAACAACTGAAGTGAAAGTAGAAAAAAGTGAGTTTAGTTTCATTACATAATGCAGACCTTTCCCTACCATTGTCTTCATCTCCTCCTTCCCGCTTCGTTGCTGCCAGAAGTGATGAATCACTGACTTAGCTGGGATTTGGGATTTTGAGAGGGTTTGGAGATGCCTGTACTGAGAAGAGATGAAAAATCGGGAAAAATGAGGTTAAATGTAGCTGTTTAGTCTTTATTGAAGAATTTGTGAGATGGCTTTTGTCGAGGTTCAGTAATTCCACATAAATTTTGCGCTGTAGAGATGAGCTGCATATTTTTCATGTCTTCTGGTTAGAACGACAGGGTTGAGCACGCTCCTGTTTGTATGGGAAAAGAATTAGGTTAAGATTTAAAAATGAAAATTAAAGAATTTCATAGAGTAGGAAGCCTTTTCCATTACACAAAGGCAACAGTAAATCCTGTTAGAGTCAGGTGAAACCTCATCTTTACCTTTTGTTCACATAAACCCATGTGCTGCTTTGATGTTCTCTGTGCACGGCGAAATGTGAATTAGGGAAAGGAAAATTAAAAAAAAATCCACCTCAGATACTCGCAGGTTTTTGTTACCAACTGTCGAGCGTTTCCACTTTGTTCTTCCTTGTGTTTCTGCTCGTCTCAGCCTGTGCTGCTGCTCAGCTAAATATAACCGAGACCATCCTTTAAATGTGGTTTTTTTACCCTTGGGACTGTATCGAGTTTCTTGAGATTGAGCACAGGCAGAACGTTTTCAGATGGCTCTGGAGACTAGAATACAGAAAGCAAACCTTTATACATGAGATCTGGCGAAAAAGACGTACCCGCACATGTGTAACCACATAAATAGATCCTCCCGTAGAAAAAAATGCGATATATCAGAGATCTCCTCACGGGCGGTGAGGAAATGGTGCCTCGGTGCCCTTGGGAGGGACCAGCACAACCCGCCCGTCCCTCAGCCTCCGCCCCAGCTGCCGACAGCCCGCATTACCTCACCCCTGGACTCGGCACTAATCTATTAAAAATGTGCGTTGCATAATAAGATTTTTATCTCGCTCAGAAACCCCGCCGCTTTCTCTCGCCTCACGGCCGGCGGAGCGCGGCCGGCGCTGTAATGGCGGCGCGGCCGGGGGGGCGCGGGCCGCCTCGCGCCGCTGTTTTTGGGGAAAGACGGTGTTCTTTGGGGCAAAGCGAGTGATTTTGAGGGCAAAACGCTGTGGTTTTGAGGGAAGAGCAGCGGGGGTTTCGGGGGAGAAAAGCGGGTGTTTTTTTGGGGGAAAGCGGGTGTTTTGGGGGGGAAAGCGGGTGTTTCTGAGAGAAAAGAGGGTGTTTGGGGGGGGGGGGAAACGTGTGTTTCCCCCAAAAACCACTCCCTTTTCCCCGAGAAAGCGGGTGTTTGGGCGGGGGGTGGGGGAACGGGTGTTTTTTGGGGAAAAGCGAGTGTTATTTTGGGGGAAAGCGGGTGTTTCTGAGGGGGAAAGTCTGTTTTTTGGGGAAAAGCGGGTGTTTCTCGCCGCGGTGTCCCCGCGGGCGGGGGGCGGTTGTTTGTGCTCAGAACCGGTCTGAGCCGGCGGGAGCCGGACCCGCCGCGCCGCCCCCGGGGCGGGGCCGCCCGAACCCCGCGGAAAAACACCGCGATTGCCACAAAAACCCTCCATTTTTAATTAAAATATTATAACAGAACACCTCCCAGCCCTTAACGCTGGAGCAGCTCTCGCTCCTGCGTGAAGGTTTTCCCTCACACAGCGCAGGGAAGGGAAGCAGCAGCGCCTGTGTCAGAGCCAGCTCTGAGGGAGGAAACCGCCCTCTCTCCCGCTCAACCTTCCAATTTTAGGTTGTTTATCTATTTTTTTTATTTTATTTTTTTCAATGCTCTACAAGTTAAGCACCGGTTTCCCCGCTGGAGGGCTGAGCCCCAAAAATCCCCAAAAGGGGTTATTTTGGAGCCTGTCTTCATATCCTAACACCACCGTTGCCGTGAAAGCACACAATTTCAAAATAAAATAGACATTTAACATTGTTAGTCCCTCTGGGAGAACTCATCCCCCATCTTTTAAATACATTGGCAATAATACTTTGAAACATTATAACCGAATGGGGTTTTTAAATTATTTTATACGTCGTTTTCTTGGCATGAGCGGCCCAAAAAAGAGTGGACATTTGGCTGCAATTAATACCCCCACCCCTCGCCGCACTCCCAGTAATTGTTGGTAATTGCTGGCTCTAAATGACAAAGCAATTAAGCAGCTTCCTAAATGTTCAGAAGTAGGTGTTTATCTAAATCTGGGCTGTCAGGCTTTGTTTCTGTGTTGGGGCCCAGAAGCTCAACTGCTTTCTCAAAGTGGTGTTTGATTCTTCACAAGCAGAGGAAAAAAAAATCGTATCTTTTTTCAAATTTATTTCAGGAAAGGAGTCTTAAAAATGCGTCATGTTAGGGATGGATGAAGTGGAAATTACTCTAGAAAAATATCTTTTGTTTTATTACAACGATAACTATTTTTATAATCTAAAATGATTTTATTGTTTTGCATTCTCTTAAAGAGATTGTTATTTTATTTTCAGTGCTGTAAAGGTTTCTTGCAATGAGATCAGAGTCTTTGGTAGTGAATATGAGGATTTCTGGCAGCTGAATCCAGATCCTTATGTGAACTTGCCTTTTCCTCTGCTGGGGGAGGAAGACCCACTGTGTGTTAAAAATAACATTTTTAAGTCACCCCTGGACAGCTGCTGGTCTGTGGGAGCTGGTATCTGGTGTGAGATTTGGCAATTTCAGATCTTTCTAACCTCCTTATTTAGGAATGGTGGGAAAAACCTGAGCTGTGTGGAAGGCATTGCTCTCACCAGCGTTGTGGGAGACTTTGGACTATTCCTTAAATCCGTGGGAGCTGCTAAAAATTGCTGTTTCCCCCAAAGGTCAGGTGCTGTCGGTGGATTGGGTTTGACTTTGGGGTTGTGCGTGCGCGTATTAACAAAATGGTCACTTCTAATTGCATTTTTAAGGCTTTGATTTCCTTCCAAGTATTTTGCTTAATCATCTTGAGTAGGCTGAGGGAAGGAAAGAATTAGCTGAGGTCAGGGAAGTTGAAGCTGCCCGTGTTACTGCTCAGAAGCTGGGCTTAGTCTGAGGGATCCTGGAGGCAGGAAGAAATTTGCTGTACACCGAGAGAGCAAGGGGAAATCAAGCCTGAAAAAGCCAAAGAAAACAGGGAAACGTGGGGTGCCCTAGGCTGTGATGGCTCCCTCACTCTGCATGAGTGGTCCAGATTGTCCTTTCTTTGGGAGAAACACAACCGGGATGTGAATCATCGCTGAAATAGATTAGAGGGATCGGAGCCTGGAAGTGTTTGTCTGCATCGATGTTGGAGTCAGACAGCTCACATGGCGACACACCACAGGCACCAGAGGTGGGGGAGAGCATTCCTGTCCTAAAGACCTTTGGAATAATGGGCACTTTAATAATTTCTAATGAATATTCACGTGGTGGGATGAATAGCAAAAGGGGAAGGCTGTATTGAATGCTTCCTGAAAAATACCCGTCATTACGGTGATCAAAGGAGAAATCCAGCCCCCGCCTGGGCTCAACCCTATGGTGTTCCTATTAAAGCCTAGACAGAGCGTCCCTTTGGATTTGCAAATACAGCAATTTGTTGGCTGTTTTTTTTTTTTCCCCAAAGAGGGTGTTTCTGGCTCTGCCAGAGGCGTGGATGCAGGAGAACCTTCCCCTTAAAACCTGAGGGCTGGGAGAACAGCTCTCCTTGCAGCGACCTGGCATTAGCCTTAAAAACAACTTTAGGTTATGCTTAAATAAGGTCACAGGGATGAGAATTAATGGTTAATAAGCCTTATTGGGGGAAAAAAAATAAAAAATAGTATCATCCCCTAATCTTTGCCCGTTGAATTAACCGTGTACCTGATGGGCTTAGCTTTGTCCTTAACGTCCAGGCATCCTCCGGACGTCGCAAGTGCCCAAACCACTAATGATGGCATCAAGGTTTTAAGTGAAAAAGCTTCTTAGCAGGAGATTAGGGATCCCACTCCAGATCATCAGCTGGTAATGCCACTCGGAGAGGAGGAGGCAGTGCGGCACTGAGTGGAAAATCACAGACTTGGAGAGAGGCGAGGGCTTCGCTGTTGTGTGGAGAAATAATTTATGTGCTGGGATGTAGTCCTAATTTTTTAAAACCTTGAAGTAAAGTGGAGTTTCCAAAAGGAGGAAGAATGAAATGTGCACTATGTAGATGTCATGTTAATCAAGTCCTTGCATAATTATTCATTAAGTGCCTAATATAAGAACAAAAATAGCTCTGGCATTAGGAAACAAGACTTCTCTGTGATCCCTCCTCGCAACAGCCCCGTAACAAAGGTAGGGAGCTGTTGTTTCATTTCTGGTCCTTCCAACCACGAGTGCTGTCTCCTGTCTGGAGAAGGGAGACGCGGAGCCTTTTAATTCCTTCTCTCTGAGAAATGTCTGGGCTTCCATGTGCAGTTGCTTTATTTAGCTCAAAGTGATGGTTTTGGCTCGAAGACACTCTGAAATCCAGGATGGCAGGAAAAGTACCTTTTGGAGAATCTTTTCTACGAGAGGGAAGTGGTTTTCAGGGCCATCTCATTTCATGATTGCCTGATATTCTCCACAGATGTCCAGAAATTTTCATCATTTTTATACTTGGGCGAAAATACGAGAACTTCATCAAGCCCTTCAAGAATCAGGAGTAATTAAGACACATCTCCAGCAGATCCTGGCACTAAGGGCATTCACGTGTTTATTATCTTTCATCCGTTTGGGAGTAGAGAGCTTTTCTAGCGCGATAACGTGTGAAAGAAAGGCACTGTTCTCCCTGAAAGTGAATTCCCAGGAATGCCGGCACTGGGTCCCCGCAGACAAACAGTGCCAGGCTGGGCTCAGGGAGATGCAAAGTGTCCTACTTACTGTGGCTGCTACAGGTCTGACCTCCTTGGATCATCTGACACCTCGTTGGGTAAGAGGTTGCTGCAAGATCTCAAACCCTCAAATTATGTAAGATTTACACACTTGCTTTGAAGTTGGTCCCTCCCTTCCATGTTTGTTTACTGCCTGGTGTGTCCTGTTGGATTGTGAAGGATGACTAGTCACAGAAAGGGAGCTGTTGGGTTAGTACAGATTTTCTGTTCCTCTTGGCTTTCTAAACGCGTGGAGCTGTGCTTATCCCTGTTCCGGAGTCTGGGAATACGCCGGGACGTCCTTCGCCGGCCGGGGCTTTGCTGGGTGAAGTTTTCAGTTTGTTTGTTTGTTTTTGAGGTGGAGGGAAGAGCAGAAAGGCTCATTGTGTTGCTGGAGGAGAAACAGAGATGGTATCTAAGTTGTCTCAGGAGTTGATGTGGGGTTTGCTTTTTAATATTCAGTTTCCCTCCGACTTGGAGAAATCACGTGCGTAAAAAGGAAGGTGCTTAATTAATACTGTACGTGTGGCTGCCAGGGTTTGGGGGCTTGAAGCACCAGATCCCATCAGGGAAGCACGCGGGCTTTGCCTGTGGGAATTCCTTGGAGGACTTCTCTTCCATCCTGTCGTCTTCCACTGCTCCTCCTTTCCTAGCTGCTCCCGTGTGCTGTGGAGGTCAGGGGCATACAGGCACTGGATCTAGGGGGGGTGTAAGGTATTGTTTTCTGTATTTTTCCCTACTTTTTTGTTTTCCCCACAAATTAATTGCTCATCAATGCTTTACAATCCCTGGTCAATGTGATGGAACCGGCCCAGGCTTTTGGGAAGGAAAATCTGTGAACTTTTGACCATGTGTGGAGATTTAACCACTAAATCGTAACAAACACCACGGAATTAAATTACAATAAGGTGCTTTATCAGAAGTTACTCTTAAGTGACAAACACTGTCATATGATACTGGTTTTCCTGGGTTGGTTTTGTTTGTTTTTTAATTTCTAGGCCTGGCATTACTCCCCATAGTTGCTCAACATAAAGATACATTCTTCCCCCCCAGCCCTTTATACATTCACCAGGCTGTGGCACTTTACCAGTTCCGTACAAACACTGTCTTTTTTATTTTATTTTCATGACATCAGTATTTTCTGCCCATGTGAAATCTCACAAAAAGTTCTACTTTTAGTTGTATTTTTATTTGCATGTGGGCAGCAAAATGAAGTAATTCCCAAATATAGTCCTAGCCAAGAGATCCATCTGTTCTCTGCATTTTTAAATGGCAAATTAATCCTTAGCATACAACTCATCAAATGTCTTCTCTTCTCTAATGTATGCTGCCTGAGATCACAGAAATGACATTTTTTTCCCAGGCCTTCCATTTTAAGTAGTCCTTTACTCCGGAACAGCAGCTCCCATTCCGGTTCTACAGAGCACTCCTGTGCTTCTTCCAGTTACTGTTGTTGGTCTAAAAAGGGGCGTGAAAAGAAAAACAGACCTCAAAAATGATTGTTCCCTTCATCTCTTTGGTGTTTCCTTGAAAGGCTGTAGAAGATTCTATTAGAACCTTAGATCAGAGGGACTGTTCTATGATCTAAGATGTAAGAGAATAGAAATTATCTTGGAAAAACACCCTTGATGAATGGATTTATTTCTGATGGAGA